CCTGATGGATAATTTAGTTTATAGTTGTCCCAGACTAATAATGCCCAAGATGTCTGAATCAAATGAAAGATTTACTCTCTCATCATTCTAAGGAAAATGCACAGATGGGAATTTCAAAACCCCAAATATATAAGGAAAGAAATCACCACAAATTAAGGCAAACAGAAACTATTTATCAGAAATGCAAATTTTCAAATAATTCAAATATTAAGATGATCAGTATGAATCGATAACATTTTAAAATGAAAAAATAAAGATACTTAAGTTTCCTATTACAAACTGGGTAACATCTAATGCAATGAATGACAAAATGAGCCCTTGGAAGAAGCATTCCAATATCCAGTGGAAATGGTGTATTCAACACTGTGGACTAAGAAGTTCTGTAAAGATAAATGTGTTGCAGGAGCAGGTGGCTCAGCTGTCCATGGTGCGCATGTCTCTTCTTTACTGCTTCTCCACCACACAGTAATGGCGTCGCGAGGAGTTCCCACAGTGAGTTAGTCGAGGAGGAAAAGGAAAGGCCAGGCTTGTGAACAGTCATGAGGATATGCGAGCCCCAGCCAAAACAATGGGTAGTCGCTACAACATAGCATGATTTAGAAGTGTCTCTGACAGACAGGAGGGAAGGGGAACCCTTCCGGGAGAAGGAGAGCTGGCTTAAGGTGTGAATCTATATTCATTCTTGGGAAGTAGTGACGGGCCATCTGGCTGGTCAGAGACTCGGAAAGAGCAAGGTGAGAAGATTTGTAATAAGAAATCTGAGAGGTATGTGGACAGACTTCTTGGAAAGGGGACCGGGTACGAAGATAGCTTCATTCCATCCGCAGGACACAAATAAACCTCTCAATCATCGGGTGGGGGAAATGATCCACCCTTCCCCCTGTAACTGAAGGTCTGCCTTGACTGTTTGGATGTCCTTGTGTGGTGAAAACTTAATCTAGGAGACAGGTCTCTCAACCTCACCTTTTTACTGGCTCTGTCCCAACCTGAGGAAAAGGGGCGGTCAAAATTCACAGGTGGGCCAGTCTCTAGGAGTGGGAGATAAGACAAGACTCCAGGGCCAAACTTAGTAGCACAATGAGTCCTTTGGCCCGAGGTCTCGGTGGTTCCATCAGTAAATCTTGCAGCGTCTTATGAGTTGAACTGTGCAGCCCAACAATGCTCTAGAGAAACGTGTAAAGATGTGTAAAGAAATCTGTAAAAATGACTCCCTTTGGAACAGGACTTATTCTATCAGCGAAGTCATACATAAGAGAGTGGGACCGGTGTGTGATGGCTAGGTACATGCCATGAGACGCTCCTGGGGAAGGGTAGGGGTGGCATTCCACCTATCAACCGTGTCCAAGCTTAACACCTCCTTGGTGTCATAACCCTTTTGTAGAAGAGGGAGAGACTGAGAGGATTTGATGCCTCTTAGGCTCTTTGCCCAGGAGCCTTCAGCGAACTTCTAAGTGGATTCATTCAGCCGATGTGGGGCCTCTGCGTCCACCAGCCTGTGACCCTGCTGTCTCTGCTTTGTCATCCCACTTCCTGCTCATCCGCTTCCACGAGCCAGGAGAAGCCTGACTTGAACCGGACTGGACTTACCTACTTCCACAAGAGTGCAACCCATTTCTTGATCTAAATCTCTGTCTAGCTCCCACGCACGAAAGTGTCACTGGTTTTATTTCTCTGGGGAACCCAAGCTCACTCAGGACCCAGGGTCCTGAACTTCATCACTTCAGAGTGGAGTCTTAGAAAACGAGCTGAAGGGCCACAAGCTATGTGAGGAGCTCCCCACAAGCCACGGAATGACAAGAAACACCCAGGGTTCCAAATGCAGAAAGAGACGAGGCTCTTACTCTAGAGGAGAAAGATAGCTAGCTAGATAGAATAGACCCATTGGGGGAAAAAAATAATAGACCTATTGGTGCCCTGAATCGATTATAGCTGTAGGACTTGAGAAAATAAATCTCTACGTTTAAAACCACTCACTTCTGGGAGTTTTTGTTTGTTACGGCAGCACTACGTCTCTACGACAGTGTTCCAGTAGCTACTCCTATGAGTTCAAAATTGGAATTCTGATTTTTGACCACTCACACCACCGTCAAATATGCCTGATACAATGGATGTCTCGAATGTTATACAAGCTGTAAGCGACCCCAAGAAAATGATTTTTAAAAAGACTAGAAACAAACAAAAAGAGGTTCGCAATGCCCTGGCATCCCCAAGCACTGTAGAGAACCTTGACGGGCACACGGCAAGAGTGATGTTGGAACACTTCCGTGTTTATTCACGCTGTACCTAGGTCACCACCAAACAAGGGACACTGAAACAGGGTTCAAAATGACATGAAAACGATTTGGCATTTCAAGAAAAGCACTGAAATAGTCAGGAACATTGGACTCCCGCTACAGCTGTTTTTTATTTAGAATCATATATGGGTGGGGGTGGCATCGAAGGCAGTTCCCTGTGCTGATAGTTTCAGTGCTTTGCAAATCTGCAGGAGTTTGTTCTGCCTCTGAGGCTGAGAGGGAGCAACAGCAAAGAACAGTTCATGTGTTTGGAGGGATCAAGGAGGGAGAACTCTGAATGTCTGGGTCAGAATCATTAATATAATTTTCTGAATCCTCTTCAATGTTGATGATGCCGGGCAGCATGTTAGACAAATCGGCAGGGTACACTGGGATGTCACTTGTCGCCTGGGTGACTGAGTTGTCCACCTTGAGGTGCCTCTTGCTGGAAATGCAGCAGACTTTACTGTGTTTGCACGTGGGGCCCCTCACCTCGTCCTCATGGCACTGTTTCCTGCAGCGCCCTTCTTGATGAAAGCATTTCCTTCCACCACTGTGGCCTGAAGAATAAGCGAACAGACCACAACTCTGGGTTATGTTCAATTACACTGGCTTGACTCCATGGCTGGCCTCTCCTAGCAGCCTTGTGGCTCATACCGCACCGTGCCTGCCAGATCTCAGCCATTTCTGTGAAATACTTCATGTCTGAAATACCTGCTACCAGCCATTTTTAACTTTTCGGAAAGTGGGGTGAATTAAGAAGTTAGCTGCTAAGCAAAAGGTCTGTGGTTTGAACCCACCAACCCTTCCAGGGGAGAGAGATGTCACAGACCAGTCTACTTCCATAAGGACTTCTCGGGCGTGGGATGGCTGTGAGTGAGAGTTCGATCGACGGCCGAGAGCTTTCGCGTGATGACAAAGCTACGCGGACACCAGCAATTGACCTGGAGAAAGTTCATCTCGTTGTTTCTGGGATTGAGCTGTGTGCACTGGTCATAGCTCATGTAGTTAAGTTTTTTTGCGGCATATGTTCTACTGCAAAACATGTATTAAAATGAGTGTTATGAAGGGGATTCAAAAAGTATACGGAAAAATGGAATTTGTCCATATAGTCTTTGAAGCCCCTTCAAATAGGTGATATATGTGTAGTTTAGAGAATTATTATAAAATGAATACTGCCATGA